GTCCAAGAAAGACACTGTCTCGTGGTCGGCAGTGGCGTCGATTAGTTGGTCAATGCGCGGCAAGGGGTAAGGGTCTCCCGGACATACCTTGTTGATTGTTGTGTAGTCGACGCACATCCGCCAAGCCCCTGAAGATTTTTTCACCAGGACCACATTTGCCAACCACTTCGGGTATTTGACCAGGCGGATCAACCCTGCCGCCAACAGTCGCGCAACCTCCTCTTCGATGGCCTTCAGTTTGTCGCCAGTAAAGCCGCGTCGCACTGTTTGCCTCGGAGGCGCGCTGGGCGGGACTGCGAGGCAATGTTGGGCTACATGCCTTGGTACCCCCGGCATGTCTTCTGTGCACCAGGCAAATAGCTCCTTGTATTCCTTCAATAGCGCTATCAGCGGCTCAATCGCGTCGTCGCGGACGTGAGTCGAGATGCGTATTTTCCTAGTCGGCTCGGTTGGGTCGAGCGCGACCTCGAAATCGGAATCCATTGATTCCGGACGGGGCTCCTCTGGCCTTGTGTCGACAATGTTGGTTTGCCGTGCCTCTCCTTCTAGCTTCAGGGCTCCCCATGGTGTCCCGCGCGCCTCTCCGGTTCCCATCTTAGTGGGGAACTTAAGCTTCTGGTGGCATGTGGATGGAAGGGCCATGAATTTTGCTAGGAAAGGTCGGCCCAAGATGCCGTTGTGGGATGATTTGCAGTCGACTATTGTGAACTCGACTTGCTTTGAGACGCGCGGCTCTTGGTCTCCGATAACAACAGGAAGAGTGACCACCCCAATTACTGGAACCCTCGTTCCAGAGAAGCCGACCAGGTTCCCTTGGGCGCGCTTAATTAAGCGTGGGTCGATGTCCATTTTGTCGATAGTGCTTTGGAAGAGGATGTCTGCCGCGGCACCTCCGTCTATCAGTAGGCGGTGAATTTTGCAGGCGGCCACTAGGGCGGTGATGATGAGCGGGTCTTCAGACGGTATTCCTTGCGGTAATTCGGTGTCGTCGAAGCTTAGTTGGCCGCCTGTTTGTACATCCGCTGCTGCGAATTCGATTGCTCGTTCGTGCTTGGTTTTCTTTTTCGGGAGGTCTCCTTCCACCGTCACTACCCCTATTTCTTTTCGCACTACATATGCTGCAGCGGCTTTGTTGTAGTCGGCTTGTGGGGGTGGTGGCGGCTTTTGGGGCCCCCCAACTTGTTCCTCTTTTTCGTGTGTGAACTCGGTCAACAATCCTCGTCGTATGAGGCATTCTATTTCGTAGCGCAGTTCTCGGCAATCTTCCGTCCAGTGCCCCGTTGCTCTATGGAAGTCGCAATGCTTTTTTGGGTCCCGCATGTGGGGCAAGGACTTCAGAGGAGCGGGCCAATTGAGCTTGTATCCCTTCTCGCGGAGAACGTGGAACACGTTCTTCACGGAGTCGTTGAGCGGTGTAAAGGCGTGGGATGCGCGCCTGTCTGGCGATCTTCCTCGCTGAGCTTGCTCTTGTGGGGGAGGGGGATGGCGCTTTTGCCCACTGTGTAGTTGCGCTAGCTGATCTCGCGGCAGCGTGAGCTGCCGACGTCCTTGTTCCTCTCGTGGCAACTTGGCTGGCTCGAAGCACCTAACAGATCCCGCTCCGAGGGTTTCTTCCAGCGTAATTGCCTTCTCAATCTTCATCTCCAAATCTGTTGATAGAGTTACGGGCCTTTTTGCTAGCGCCCTCTTGAGTTCCATGTTGGTGGTGGCTTCCATAAGGTGATGGGCGGCGGTTTCGGGGGTAAGGTCGCGCACTGCCATCGCCACCCTGGACCATCTGGCGTAAAATGATCGCAGTCTTTCCCCGTCCTTTTGCCTGAGGTCTACCAGCGCCTTGAGGTGGAGGGGCCTTCTTTTTTGGGATGCGAACTTCGTCGTGAATAGGAGTATGAACTCCTCAAATGAGCGGATGATCCCATTCGGGAGCCTGTTATACCAGTCTAGGCATATCCCGGAGAATGTTGATGGGAAGGTTCGGCATAGCGCCGCGTTGGAGTTGGTTTGGAGCTGCATCCGCAGGCAGAAGGTGCTCACATGGTCTTCGGGATCAGTCGTCCCGTTGTATGTTGGGAGGGCGGGTGGCATTCCGCTCAGGTGTTCCGCCATGATTTCCGCGCTTAGCGGCTGGTGGAGCGCCCTCTTGGGTGGGTTGAGTCGGTATTGCGGAGACAGGTGTTGCTCCAGAAAACTGAGGTCCGCCCTTCCTGGCAGCTCAACTTGTTGCGTTTCGTACGCGGGGTGCAGTGGTGGGACCGTCCCCGACGTTTCTCCTGGGGCTTGTTGGGGCGCGACTGGTGTCGCGCATACTGTGAGCTCGACTTGTTGCGTTTCGTGCACGGGGTGCGGTGGTAGGGCAGTCCCCGACGCTTCTCCTGGGACTTGTTGGGGCGCGGCTGATATCGCGCCTGTTGTCGCCGCGGCCTCTTTGCTCATCATGAGCGCTATGACCTGGCTCATTTGTTTCTGCATGTTAGCTATGACGTCGTTCTGCTTCGCCATCAGCTGTCTCATTTCCTTGGCTGTGAGCTCGGGCTCTTCCTCTTCCAGGAGCACCGCGTTGAGATTGCTAGCTTCCGCGAATTCCCTTGCGTTGGTCATCGCTTTGATGGGGGTTGATTCGTCAGGCGAGTTGGAGTTATGCTCTGCCATAGGTCGGTTTTCTTTGCTTCTCTACTTGGCCCCACGGTGGGCGCCAATTGTTTGAGCCTAACTGGGTGTAGGAGTGAGACTTGGGAAAATAGGTCAAGGAGAGTAAGCAATGAGGGAATAATCGTTGATGGAAAAATTGAGGAGATTACGATAGAATTGAGAGAGAAATATCTTAGAGAGAGAAGTCGATGATATTAGAGATAGAGTCTGAAAAATCCGATCCCCTCACCCACCGGAGTAAATGCCATATTTATAGGCTACATGGTGGTGGGTGAGTGGTTGGGTTACATGTGGGTGCAATGACATGACCACTACATGATCACTGACATGTCAGGGATTTAAGCCATGCTTATACCTAGGACATGTCAGGGGCTTACCTATGACTGTGTTTAGGACCCTGATGTGACTACCCATCGGGAAACGAGACGACGCTTTCTGCGGCTCTTTGGTCTAGTCAACGCCTTGATCCTTCCTTTGGTCGCGCTCGAGATCTTTGCGCTAGTCTGCCTTCACAGTGTCGCGCTCGAGGCCTTCGCTCTCGAGGCCTTCGCGCTGAACCCCGCTGGAGGTCTTCAGTCGCGTCCTGCAGGGTTCAGCGGCATTTGGGGAAGTGTCGGTGCGTTCCTCTGGCGTGGCTAGGTCCGAGTCACATGCCCAACATTTACAAAACACAAGTAGAAAAATAATTGTTTGTTGTTGTTAGAAGTGTGATAAAGATATATACGTAATTACTAACATAAGTAAAAATGGACAAAGAATTAAACAAAGCCAAATCACACTCGCTATACTTCCAATTTTCTTTTCCCCCTTATTTGTTACTTTTCTCAAACATTATCGGTTAATATTATCTTTCCCCATCCAATTCCACCTTCCTTTTCATTCACTCTTTTGTATTCGTCCTTTTCATTAAACACGAATACGAGCATGGGAGCACGAATAGGCACGGCACGATTCGAACCGTACCCGAGCCTGGGCCGATCTAGCAAAGTTAACAAATGGGCTTGCATGGCACGACACGAAAACTGACGGGTCGTGCCAAGCACGATACAAAATAAATGGGCCGAAGTGTGTCCGTGCCGGCACGGCCCATCGCCCATGTATAGCAACAACCCCTTTCTTTTTATTCTTTCACATCTTAAGGTTTACTTGGACAAAATATTCATCATGGAGAATTCTATTAGTGGGATGATTATTTTGCTCAAAACTTCCTTTGACAATAATATATTTTCGTTTATGTTATACATGTTTCAGTATCATTTTAAGTTTTTGGAGTTCATTATTATTGGCTACTATATTTTATGGTTATATGACTTCAACAAATATTTATCATGGAAAATAATCTAATTAGCAAAAGTGTGCTCCAATTGGCCCTCAAAAGAGTAAGTATGCTAAAGGTGGAGGTAATGCATTCGGTGGTGGAGATAGCGATGTTGCTAAGAGAAAAGAAAACATTGTTGATTGTTGAGAACTAGAGACAAAAATTTCAATGACGGGAGTAAAGATCGAATCGTTGATAATAGTATAACTGATGATTGTGAATATAAAGGTTTCATTAATGCAGATGAAACTACATGGAGAAAATGATGCTTTTGATGACCAGAGCAACCTAAAAAAGAACCGAAAAGAAATTTTGCAGTAATTTCTTACATTGAGGAGTAAATTGAAGAGTACTAATATTATCAAGGCCTTTGTCCATAGATGATCAAAATGTCAGATTATATATTATGTATCGGATGTCTCCAAAGGGACTAATTTTTTTTTATGTCTGTTATTCCTTTTTTACAGTTTCAGTAATTGAATCATTTGGATTATTTCATGATACCAAATAAAAAATAACTTGACTTGGATAATTACTACTATTATTGATATTCATCGGACCAACGACGGGCCCAAATCTAGTACCGATAGAAGAAGGAATTGAATATAGAGGGAGAGGCAAAGACAGAAAGGGCAAAGAGGAAGCAGACACGGACAGGAGAGTGGCATCGCCAAAATTGACTACTCCTTTGAGCTTTTCACTCTTCTGGAGACAGTCCTTAGCTGCTTGCTCTGCTGCTGCGCCATAAAATTACCATCCCTCAATCAAAAATATTCATATCGATAGGGATGAAATTGAATTTTCATGTTATACAAATGAATGCAAAGTCGTCGTAGTTTCACAAATTCAACCAACTAATGATCAGGCAGTCACTCTAAGAGAGAGAGAAAAAAGATACTTTCTTTCGGATAATTTACGTATATCTAAAGTCAACTCTCATGAGTTTGTCGGATATTTATTAAGTCAATTAAACCACCTTAAAAATCATAAATAATGATTCGTCTATATAATAAAACCGTTCTCAATTACTATGATCTTTAGGGAGTTTTTTAATAGTTACAGTCTTCATGCAGCAGAGATTAAAAAATATGTCCAACGTGTAATTTTTTTTACACCCTTTCCTTCCTCTGTTTACACAGGTTTAGGTCCACCTGCAATCTAGCAGTGCTTTTCTTCAATATTTAATTTACCATTTGATAGAGTTGACTGCAAAATATTTAAGCAGGGGGCTGAGAAAAGATACATGAAGCCCAAATTTATAAGTTAGGTACAGTAAGTAAAGAAAGATGAAGCCCGCAAACTTGATCAATAGAGTGCAACGAGCCTCTTTCCGAAGGAAGGATGGGCATTGATTGGGCCTTAAGTTTCCAGCTTGAAGCCCAGCCCGCTATGTGACTACATTCTAGAAAAAGTGCGGCACAAGTGCCGCTCATTTTGATTGGTCCACCTAGACTATGATGTGGCACTGACTAAGCTTATTATTACACTACTGTCAAACTCATTGGCCCATGAGTAGTGGCCCAAAACCGCAGCTGCCCACACAAACAGAAAAGCATCGTCGTTTATCTGTTTGTCTTTTATTTTTCATTTAATTCCTTTCACTTTAATTAATTGGCTACTTTATTTGGTTTTTCGCCAAAAACAAGGAATCAGAAAAAAACAAACCCAAAAACACTTGTATGTTCTTCCTCGATATTCCTCTCTGGCGGACTGCACTTCCGGTGACTTCTCGGTTTTCACTATTGGCAATCAATAGCTTTGAAAGCTATATTGAATTAATTATCCCGTATTATTTTTAGATACGAAAATAAGAAGAATAATTAATAAAAAGAATATTATGGAGATAATTAGGATTAATTATCTTAATATAATATATTTTAATTATGAAAGTAATTATCTTCCTAATTAAAATGTGGCTTATTCCCAAAAAAATAGGGAATATTCTAGGTCACTCTCTTTAAGACGTTTGCGACAATGCCTCATTATTCGCACAACAGACTATCAGTCAGTCGCCTTCGGAATAAAACAGCCACTCTGATTTTGTTGCTCGTCGATTTTGTGTGAAAACCGGAGCTCTATAAATTAAATCTCTCTCGTGTTTCTGCTCCCGCGACTCAGCCAGATCAGTAACCCTAATTTTTCCGTTCGGTTTTTAACAATTTTAAGACGTTGGTTGTTGTCATGATTACCGAACAGGTTGGATTATCCATCCGGCTTCCACAAATCCAAATCACTGCTCGCCGCCATGCGTGCGCGCCGTCGCTCACTCTCAAACACGAGTCGCCTACGTGCCTTAAGAAAAAACTCCCCTGTGAATTGGAAAATTTACCCCAAGCCAAGGAAAGGAGGAAAAACCAGACGATCGACTTCACGATTGATGTTGGTCCAAAATTTGTGATTGGGCAAGCGTTTTCGCAGCTAACTACACGTGTGGGAAGGGGACGAAGGAAAAGCCCCAATTTCGAAAACAAATTTGAGAATCGCGTCGAGATTTCCAAATTCCAATTTCGTTCGTGTTCCTCCATGCATAGGGTTTCCTATATACTTCCGGCCATGGATTCCGATCTCACTGTCCCGAGTTCCGGCTATGATCCCCAACACCCGCCGCTTCTGCCTCTGGATACAAATCTTGCACCCTCGAGCGACGAATCGGCTCTGGTATCCAGCCCTGAAACTGGATCAGATGCCGCCACAATTAATCCCAGCTTATACCCTTTCCCTGCCGAGCATCATCATCGGCCGCTATGAAAAAAAAGAAGAAAAAAGCCCGATCAGTGGCTAGAACAACCGCTCCACTAAAGAGTTTTTGTTCATTTACCTGCCACCGCTGATGGAAGGAAAAGACGAAGTTGAAGTCAATTGGAAAAATGGATCCAAAAATTAAATGGGCCAAAGACAGAAAGGGCAAAGAGGAAGTGAAGCTAACACCCAGCAGTAGCCGCCAGTCGAGGGAGAAGCCAACCATGGTGCGATACGCTTCAGCGGGCGTCACTCCACTACGTGCCACAGTCTTTTGTCTCTCGTTTTGTAGCTTCGTCGGCGGGATAGGTTTTCCAGTACGTGGGGAGGGGAAAACAAAACAAGCTTGACAGAGGAAAGGCTTACGACAGAGACCGCTGCTCTAGGGAAGTATAAAGCTGGGATTTCATTCTGTCCATTTAATTTCCCATGTTAAAGTGGACTCACACTCACATGAGAAATTTTGTGATAGGTTACTTTAGTGGGCCTTGAACTGAAGTATGGCTGAAGGGATTTGGGCCGGGTTGTGAAACGGGACCAAGTGACACAGCATTGCATGGGATTTTGACTCTCCTAAGATGGTGGAACTGGCACTTCTGCTGCTCCTGTTTTGTGGCAGTTGTGAAACGAAGAACTACTTGGAAACTAAGAAGTTATGTGTGGCATGCACCGCAAAAGTCAGATTCTTGAAGAGAGGTAAGAAATGAAACTTTCCTCATGAGTCATTAATGAATGACAAGGGTTTTATGCATGAAATTGAGAAAGGTTATGAATTCTAGAATGAAAGCTTGAATTGATGCATGATAAGTTGACATTGAGATATATTACGTATCTCGATGATTAGAACATAAATTGAATACATGCTATGGAAAGAATGATCTTGCCTAAATGTGTACATTGAAGAATATATGGGAATAGAATGAGTTTATTGCCCATAATAACAATATTGTAAGAAGTACTATTATCAGTACTACACGAACCACAAATTTAAAGATCGCCACCCAATCCTCTAAGAATGACGCTATGTTTCTCTGTTAAATTTGTGAGAAACTAGGTCATAAGACACGAAAGTGTAAGAACAAGTTTAACATAGTGTTAACTTGACTAAATAAGAGGATTTGGTGGTAATAATCACTAATGGGGTGATAAGCCTTAATGGCAATTCTGAAGAATGGTGGTTGGATATTGACGCCTCAAGGTATGCATATGATGATAAAGCTAAATTGTTGAATTCTTTTGTGTCTGGCATGCACGTCTTTGACGTATATCGTGAAGAATTGAAAGATAGAGTCACATTCTCATAATTGTTTGTGATAAATATATGGTTTTCATAAAGAAACTAAAAGACCCATAAGTATATGACTAGAGAATCAGAATCCTTGTATCTGATTCATTTTGAAATGGGAGAATGTAATGAGATGACAATTTGGAATAATGTGAAATGTTTTATCACATTATTATTGATTGCACTAATTAAAGATGTGATGCTTTTGACGTAAAATGTTATTTATGAAATTTTTTATAGGGTATAGTTCGAGAATTAGTGCAATACAAGATGAGCATGAGAGTGTTTTATTAGTTGTGCTATCAGTAGTAGAACATATAAGCTTGTGTAATGAAATACTCTTTGTTATGTGAAATCCATTGATGTCATTCCATTTAAATCGTGAAATAGTGGGGGTGATATCTTGTCTGCTATTAGAACTAATGGATCTAGTAGGGTTGATGAATTTGAGTATGAATTCACAAGAGACAAATGAACAATAAATCACTAAAGGATTTTGGTTATGAATTTGTTATTACACCCTAAGAAAGATCCCACAAGTCTGTTTGAAGTTTGAACTTCCATAAATATGCAGATTCGTGGGAGAATCCATTATTAACGAAATGGAATTTGTGGAGTCTAGTAAGACTTAGAATCTTGTAGAGTTGCCTCTTGGTTATATAGCCTTGGGTAATATATCGGTGGAACCGAACAAGATTTGGCATCTTTGAGAATTACCTCCTGGCAATGAAGCCAAGGTAATAAATGGATTCCTAAAAGGAAAGCTGAAACCTGATGGTTTAGTTTATGAGTATAATGATCGCCTAGTAGCTAAGGCTTTAGGTGAAAAGGAAAAATTGTAGATTTCTTTGATATCTGTTCACCAAATCTAGAATAACATTCATGTATGGTCTGATTAATGTTGAACATTTGATTATTTTTTTATCGTTACATCAATCACATGTACCATACACGACATACAAAATGAATGTATCAAATACGATCTAAGAATTTAGTAAACAAGCCTAGTTCGAACTCTACTCGACTCGGCTCGTTAACAAATGGCTCGAGCTCGAGTTCAACTCATTTGTCAACGAGTCAAGCTCAAACTGGGGGTAAAACTCGGCTCATTTGCAACCGTAAGTGCAACGAGCCTCTTTCTAGGCTAGCCAGCCAGCCAACTGGGCATTGATTAGGCCTTAAGTTTCCAGCTTGAAGCCCAAGCCCGCTATGTTTCTACATTAGGCATTCGAGGGCTGGCCAATAATCTTGGATCGTTGCCAACTACTCTTTCACGTTAGGCATAATGAGATTGGCATTTTGGATCGTTGAGAAGCTAAGAAGGTTGTTGGTTCACCACCTCCCTGAAGAGAAGACACTTTTTAATCTCTATCCTCTCCCGTCTCAAAAGAGGAAGTCAGAGGAGTAGTTCTTGGAATGAAGATAGAAAAATCACCTGGCCGAGTACATACGAATTCTTATAAGACTTGTTTTAGAACAACAGTAGCAAAAAAGTGACGCATTCAATGCGAGACTTTTTTCGAGACACGCAATGTGTTCAAAGAGATAAATTGCAGTATCTTAATTCTGATCCCAAAAACTCCTAATGCAGACACAATGAAAATAGTTTCACCAATCTCATGTTGCAACTTTATTTATAAGTGCATCTTCCAAGCTACTAGCTATTAGACTAAAAGAGGTATTGCCATAAGTCATTAGTTACGATCAATCAAGTTTTATTATGGCTTGTTTACCTTGAATCAAAATGCGTCATGACTAATCTAACCATACCTATAAGGAGGTTCTACTCTGAAACCCCCTTAATTCCTCTTTTCCTTGCTTCTCCTCAAACCACGTCAGGGCATTGTGGACTTTCCACGGTAGAAAGAAAAGGGAGACATGGTGATTATTATTGTAACTAAAAACCTAGAATTATACAGCCCAGACTTCTTCCGTCCAAGCTAGGTGTTCTTTTGAATGAAATCGATTTGAGGAGTTCTCTTTGTTATTTGTAGCTTTAACAATCTTGATTTTTGTTCAAATTCTTATGAAAGAATGAATATTGGAGTGTGAATTATTGTTCACTAATTGAACTCATTTGTTCCATTATTAACTCTATTGCGTCGCTTCTACTAATATTATTAAGACTACTAATTTTGGCTATTGTAATTTATGTCTCGAAGAAATACTCCCCGCTTAATGATTTGTGGAACAGTTGATAAAAGAACTAGGTGCTATATATGAATCACACACATATTCTTCGGAATTAGATGTATTCGCAGGATTAATTTGAAAAACTGGAGGGATATGCAAGAATGAGATGCTATATATATGAATAACACACATATTTTTCTGAATTGTATGTCTCCACAAAATTAATTTCTTATCGTATTTAAAATTTTTTGATGGTGTGGACATCAATCAACTTTCAATTATTCATAATTTCTCTACCTATTTCACATTGCTAGGTCTTAGAAAACTATTACTACACATTTTACATTTTCAGACATTGATGCACATAAGTCGAGTTTAAAATAATTGATCAACCATTGACAAAATTAACAAGAAGAAAATGTGCAATTTATATGAGGCAAAAGTGTATATATGAAAAAATTATCAATATTCCAATTGGCAATCCATTTATTTAAGGGTTGTTTTCGATTTATATGTTATCAAATTATGTGTTGGATGCTAAGCTTGCTTATTTTACTGATTTCTATATAGGAATTAAAAAATGAGATATATAACTTACAAGCTAAGAGAAATATATTGTTAAGATCCATCAAACTTGCTAAAAATTAATATGACATCTTCGGGTGATGTGCTCTGGAGGCGAACCATATATATTGATATTTACGGTATCCAAGTCATCCTCATTTATTTTTATTTTAAAATTTTAATCAAATGTACTTTTTATATTGGAGTTTCAATTTTATTGCAGTTGTTGTAGTGTTTGACATTGTAAATCTATATGTAAATGTGAAAATTGTGAAGCAATGATGTAGAAAGGTGAAAGTACCAAACCCATGAGGAATCCAATCAACCAAAGTTTTCATTGTGTTGCCAACAAGTTAAAGTGAACTTCCCTTCTCAAAAGCAGTGTCCAAAGCTTTTGAATATGCTATTGCAAACAAATACTTCAACGAGACGTCACTTTTTTGAACATATTTGAAGCCATAATGGGGTATTTGTATTAACTTTTATTGGAGGTAAATTGGGTCGGTCTATAAATGATAGACACAACGTATATATTTACTTGATTGGAGGTCAAGTATGACATCAAATTGGTAGCCTAATACCTACCAAAATTTGCTCAATTCTACATTTATGACACTGTCAATAACCCCCAAAATTGGTTAGATTTTTTCACCGCATATCCAGTTTCAAATCCTTTGTGAAATTCATTTATTGAACACTACAGGAGATATTGAGTTCATGTAATATCATAGTAAACACATTTTGACTTCCAATGGATAGATTGAATACACCACTGTTCAGCAGTTGAAATTAAGTTGAACCAAAATTTGCTAAACTTTACATTTATGACACTGTCAATAAGCTCCAAAATATATCATATTTTCTACAAAAATAATTCAAAATTTACTTTAATTTGAATGATTTAGAGTTTACGAATTTAGGGTTAGGGTCGAGATTTACAATTTGGGGTTTTGGGTTGGGATTCATAATTGAAGGTCAAGGGGTTGGGATAATGGATTGATCAGTTGTAATTCTATGTTATATCACCATATTAGACTAATGTTAGTATGTTACCAATTAAAGTTCAAAATTTGATCTATCATGGGCACTGAGTGTACCAAAGTAGCCACCTATATAGAAATCATTCAAGATTTATTTTAACTTGAAGGATTTAGGAATTTAGGGTTAGGGTTTAGGTTTACAATTTAGGATTTAGGATTGGGATTTAAAATTGAAGGTTAAGGGTTAGGGTAATAAATTATTAGTTGCGATTCTATGTTATATCATCATATTAGACTAATACTATCAATTAAAATTCAAAATTCAATGTGTTATGGCCACTTTTAAAGTTGGGTGTATTGAATGCATCCAAAAAAGTAAGCGGACTAAAGTAGCCACCACGGCACCATATATATATATGACTTTGCAATATTCCATATTATTTCCACATGGTAAAGATGGATGGAACCCAATTATTTGATATTCTAGCGGTGAGGATGCAGATGGACTCAATGAGACGAATGTGACTCAATGTGATTTTTGTAGTTATAGACGGCAAAAGAAGAATGTAAGAATGAAGCTCATTGCTATTGTGAGTAAAGTTGCTCCAACAATATGTTCTTAATGCACATGCATTGGCTGAGTGTGAGCATTTGGATTGGATTAAAACAATCAAACAAAGCTTTAACCACATTAATACCAAGGTCTTTTGAATTCTTACTTGAAAGGTGATTTAGATACAAGTTTGAGTGAGAAAAACATGTGATTTTAGATTCATCACATCTATGTAGTCCTCGATATAGCTATGAAAGCTTTCAAGATGTTATGACAATTATTATTTGTAGATGGGCTGGATATCCAATCTTTTTCATTACTTTTAAATGCAATCCTGATTGGCCTGAGATTTAATACATGCTTGATTTGATAAAGACTACTACTAAGAAAGTTCTTAATATAGCTTATGTTCTCGCAAGAGTTTTCAAGCAAAAACTAAATCAATTGCCGAAGGAGATTTTGGAGAAGAAAATTCATAGGAAAGCATGTGCGTGTAAGTTATATTTCATAGTCTTACTTTAAGCATCCTTAATTCATGCTTTGTTTATTAATTATTAGTTTCCAATTTATATCATTATTGATCATTTCTTTCATAATCGATGTTATGACAATTGAATTTCAAAATCATAGTCTACATCATGCTTATTTATTAGTTTTCCTAACTGCGAAAGATAAATTCTATGGTGCTTCATAAATTGATTCAATAATATATGCTAAAATCTCATGTCTTAAAGCAAATCCTAAATGTTATGAAGCATTTGCAAATTTTATGTTTCATGGTCCATGTAGTATTCAAGGGCTTAAAGCTCTATGTCCAACTAATGGTACCAATTATGGGCAATAAGGACAAATCCGGTATATTGTTCATAACTTGGACAAGATAAATTCTACTCCAATAAAAAAGAAAACATGTAGTGATCTCTGACGACGACGGCGACTAAATAAAAGGTTGATTCGAAAATGTCTTTAGGAGTAAATTTCTAGCAAGGGTTTGTCTTTCGTTTTCGTTAAAGAATTTTAGTCGATGAGTCATTAGAATGTTGGAAAACATTATATGTTTGATTTTTTATATCTTTTTGAATTGTTGAAGTATTTTAATAATTCAGGCTCTCTTATTCTACCCATGAATAATTTAGATTTTCTTATACCATAAAAAAAAAACGTGTATCTCGCATATAAATTGCTATTGTTGTTTACGTGATTGGCGTCCAAATCCGTCAATCCGGCCAATTGGCCGGGCCCGTGACTAGTGTTACTTAAACCATTTTAAACTCTTTTGATGATGCATAAGCGTTTGCTAATTTATAGTTTTATATTGTAGTTCCTTATTTTTTTCCTTAATTTTTTATACATTTGCTAATTGATTAGATTCCGGATCGGATGGAAATCACACCACACCCACACTTGCTTAAAAGGCTTCCTATAACATGTTTATTTAAATTGACCATTGTTTTCCGGGGAGAAAACTTGCGTTGAAATAAATTGATTGCACCTTTGACTTCTTTGGACAACGATCACTAAACACGGTTCACACCTCTTCAAACACAGTTCGAACGAGGGTATTCGATGTTTACACGACTCTCGAGACAGATCTACATTAAGTTACTCCTACTCCTATGGAGGTTCTGAGAGAGCTCCAAATCTACGACTACTGATAAAAATTTGCAGTGGAAAGATAAGATTGATAAAACTTGACAAGTGGTGTCGAGTGGTGATTTTTGCGGGCCTTTCTCTGACAACTCTTCCTCCTATTTATAGGCTTGAGGTGATAACCGTCGTAGAAAACTGTATGGAGAGTAACTTCCAAAAAGAACCGCTTCCCTTCTTTCCCGGACGTGGCTAACGTGTCCCTGAACGTGGAGTAATTGACAGTTTCTCAATCAAACTGTCGGCTCTCCCTTTTGGAACTGACGTTTCTCAATCAAACAATCAATGTACCAAAGGTGTACACCCATTGCCAAGTCCATGGATCAAACCAGACATACCATCCATAGACCACATGACTCTTTTCCTCCAAGAGAGATGAATCTTCATACATTAACTTTGAATTTTTTAGCTTACTAATGGGTGGTACATAGTCAGCCTGTCTAGTTTTGGTGGCCTTGCATGAGGTATCATGCTTCTTTGCTTGGGCCACCTTACTTGACATGTCAAGGCTATCATGATTATTCTTCTGCCTTGATTTCCTCCCACTTGATACATGTTTAATCTCCTCACGATGTTGGAGACCAGGTTTAGGCTTGACAAGTCGACAACCACTCGTGTAGCTTTCTTGTCTTCGTCTTTCAACATATAAAACTTGTTGGCCCCTACACTTAGCACTCAACCACCATTGATTCTTTGTGCAACCATGTTTGGCTGGTCTATATAGTGACTTCTTATACATGCCCCCATGTCCACTCTTGGTGGTTGGTGTTGGTACTTACTATTCATTGACATGGACTTGCCCCCCAATTCA